CTGCCTACAGTTAGGCAAATTATTTATTTAACTTGGATTTTTCCTCCCCCCCCCTTTTGTTTATTTAGACAATCTCTCCATTCTTTGTTGGGGGGAGAAAAGCCACATTAATTTCAATGTGTATTTCCCATTGCATACCTGCTTACCCTCTTGTAACCCCTTTCTCTCTACAGGGAAGGAATAAAAACAACAGCTCAGACACAGGATAATTCATATTGACTATAATGGTGATCATGTGACTGAGGGGCACTAAGGTCATAAATGGTAGTCATTAGTGTTTGTTCAGCAACTATTTAAAGTTATGATAGAGATAAATGCTACTTACAATTGGTCTGCAAAGTTTTGACTGTTGCAACTCCCGTGGTCACATGATCAAAATTCAGGTGCTTGGTAGTCCACCTGCATTTAGTACTGCAGGGTACATTTCTGCTTTCCCCCCACTTGCCTATCTCCTCCCTTGACTACTCTTCTGGTCGCCCTTGGTTCTGTTGCCTTTTCTGTCCTGCACTCCAATGTTCCTGCTATCCCTAACATTCTGGCTCTCTAGTAGCTGCTTTGTGAATGGACAGCTGTGCCTTGTCAGCAGTGAGAGGAAGAAGACAACAAAGGTAAAGGGGGTGACAGATGTGGCCAAGGTATGAGATAGAGTACAAAGGGCCAAGTGCAGGATAGAGTGCAAGGTGATGGGGCAGTGGAGGGTAGAGTAGCCAAAAGGATAAAGATGGGGGGGGAGAGATAGGAAAATGAGGGGAATTGAAGTGGAGACTAGAGAGGCAGGGCAGGAGAAGTGTGAGGTTCTGGCCTAATAACAACAACTAGGACAGGGGTAGGCAACCCATAACACTCAAAGAGCCACTTGGACCCGTTTCCCACCGAAAACAAAACACTGGGAGCCGCAAAACCTTTTTGATATCTAAAATGAAGATAACACTGCATATATCCTTTTTTACCTTTATTATAGGTGTGTGTGTGTGTGTGTGTGTGTGTGTGTATATATATATATATACATACACACACAGGTAAAAAAGGATATATGCAGTGTTATCTTCATTTTAGATGTCAAAAGGGTCTCTCTCTGTCTCCCTTTCTCCCTCTATCTGCCCTTGGTCTGCCAATCCTCTTCCCCCACTCTCTTTCTTTCTCTCTCTCTCTCCCTACCTCTCTCTCTCTTTCTCTTTCTCTCTCCCCCTCTCTCCTATCTGTGGCTCACCTGGCAAGCTGGCTTCAAGCCGTTCTCCAACAAGCTCAGGGGTAGGCAGCCTCGGCTCTTTTATGACTCATGGACTTCAACTCCCAGATTCCTGAGTCAGCATAGCTGGGCTAGCTAGCTCTCTCCTGCCCTTCCTGCTTCCTGCAGAGACGCAGCAAAGGGAGGAGCTCCGCCCAATAAGCTTTTCAGTTCCTCGGAGAACACTGTGAGTGCACTCTTATATATAGAGAGAGAGGGGGGGGGAGAGAGGCGCAATTGCCTCTCTCTGTCTCTCTCTGCAAATGGCAGAGGAGGCTGGGAGCCACAGGGGAAGGCTCAAAGAGCCACATGCGGCTCCAGAGCCACAGGTTGCCGACCTGTGAACTAGGACTACTGAAACCGATGTTGCTAAGCAATGCAGTCATGTGATGTTTCACCTAATGACATCACTTAGCCACCAAAATTCTGGTCCCAATTAGGTTATTAAACAAGGACTATCTGTAAAGTTGTCTTTTTATACATAATATAAATATGTAAGTATGCATTAGAAATGTTTGTTTACAAAGCACCTCTCAATATAAAGCTATTACTTTTCTTGGGATTGGATAACTGTCCAGAGCTTCAATATGATCTCATAAAAAGACATTTGGTTTAAGGTGACAGGTATTACATGTATGCCCATGCTCACACCCACACTAAAATACTTTGTTCCCTTCCCCATCCAAAGTACTACTTACTATAAAAATAATCCTAACCTCAACAATTTACTTACTTTGAAATCTGTAAATCAGTTTGGGATTGTTTGCAAGGATAATATACAAATAATTTAATATAAAACTATCACATTTTGAAAGATTATATCAGCATTAGGCTAATACATGTTACAAATTAAGTTGTGTCAACAAACAAAACGTAATAGCGTAAGTTCCATCCTTTCTGTAATATTCGAAAAAATGTTGTGTAGATGATAAACTCACACATTTACACTACTGTGATTCAGTACAGTCCCATGAAGCAGCCCTAATATGACTGGAATTTTGTTTCTTACAAGCACAACCAGGAAAGAGGTGACAAAATTCAGTACAGTTAAGTCATCAGGTGTTGCTTAAATACTCAACAAGAGAATATTTATTTGCACAAGAGAGTGAAAGGGCTTCTAGATATACCACCTGTAATTGGAACTTTTCACTGCCAAATAATTAAATATGATAACAAAATTGTCAACTTGATCCTAAAAATCTATAGGTAGCACAATATTGCCTGATTTTACAGTACCTAAATTGCTATGAAAAATAACTATGACTGAATTCATCAGTTTCATCGATTTAATATTTATTCTGTAAACATTTCCTGAAATAAAGATGCTTTATTTTGAAAGCAAGTTGTAAATCTTACTATACAACTTTTAACTGCTGGATTTCCTCTTAGAATATAAATTAAAGAATTAGGTTATTTCTGGCTCGGCTTCAATTATTAATTTAAAAAACAGGTGTCCATCCAATGAAAAGACCAGCACCATACCATTAACATTTCAGAACAGATTTTTTTTCATGAAATATGAAGTAGAAATTGATCCTGAAATATAGACATACAACATTGTTGTGGTTTCTAAACCAACCAGTCAAACATACTATTATCTCAAACAAGTAGCAAAGGAGCATTACACTTTCATTTTAAAATAAAATCAGAGATATACAGGCTGCATAAGACTACATAAATCAATGTAAATTGCAATAATGAAAAAGGAAACCAATACTCTCTACTTTCTTCTATTTCCTACATTTCTGGCAAGATGCCAAACAAAATTCCGCTACTTCCGACATGATTTTAGAGTCTTGATTTGCCAAGTAAACAGCTTTCATAAAATCATTATGAGCATCTAGGATTTTTCTATTAAGGAAGCAATCCCATTTTCTTTTTTTAATCAGCTGATTATGCGACAAAGATACTGAAAATTCACTGTTAGACTTCAATAGCGGAAAATCTAATTTGCCCCCAAATATACTACAATTATTACCATATTAATATAATATACACACTAAGTCTAATTAAATATCAAGAAAAATCTAGTAAAATTTAAATACATGTGTGATTTAGTAAGATGATTTTCAACTTAAAGAAATTGCCTTGAAATTGTTCTCAAAGGAACAAGCCATATGGAAATATATCTTAGGAGCTATAATTAGTGATGTTATTTTCATTGAACTTTAACTTTGCAGATATTAGTCTCACACTCATGAATATGATATTACTTAAAATGCTAGTATTTCTAAAGAAGTATAGAACTAGACAGATACTAAGTAGCTTTATTAAAATAAAACTATAGTAAGAATAGGATTTTAAAAACAAATATTAAAAAGTGTCAATCATATCAGAATCAGAAACATTCTTCCCCTCCTGAACAAACATTTTATCTTAGGAATCTAGACATTTCAGGGAGGTAGAGCATTCTTGACATAACTTCACAGAACCAGTCATTGGCCTGTGACTAACAGTAATACATGATATAATCTCTTAAGAGTCTTTTAACACTGAAACAATCAGTAGGCATGGGTGTACAGTAAGCTGTTATGTGATTTCCAAAATGCATGTAATTGCAATGAATATTTACAGGGTTAGTGGAAACAATGGCTGATATCCAAAAAGCCAGGGAGGCTTTCTCAAATACTCCATTCTAAGTGCAACCTTGACGCCCCATAAAAAGCTGTCCCAAATGTCACCAGAGGGAGGGAGGGAGGGAGAGAGAGAGAGAGGGAGAGAGAGAGAGAAGAAACACTGATACTGAGAGAAAATGAGCTTAATTTAAGAAAATCTATGATAGTTAAATTTACATATTTAGAACTGTTACCTAAGTATCTGATGTATGTTATTAAGCAACAATCCTGCTTTATTAGGATTCAGTGAAGAAAAACTACATCAACTAATTTCTTACATAGTTTGACTATATTATTTACATATCTTTGTTCTCTGAAAAGAAATGATGCTATTAAATGACAACAATTTTGAAAGTTACATTATCTTTGTCTTAAATAATAAACAATTATCATGCATCAAATTATACTTCATCTTCTTTGCTGTAAATTATTTTTTAAAAAAATGATCTTTTGAAGATAAAGATAAAAACTTAAGCAATTTAGTGTACCCAATTATATTTTCTATGCAATGTAGCATTGTAAGTTCTTAAAAATATCACATTGCAGAAATAAGATAAATGAATTATAACTTGAATGCTAAGTATAAAAAAATTCCTATTTAATTTTATACCCATTTTCCTTAGTATCTACAAATAAATTTAGAATTTAATAGTTTCATATATATCTGTAATAATTTATTAGCCTTATTTACAGCATATGTCATATAAAGCCTTATCAAAAACAAACTTTCTTTTAACATTTCTTGGAATGTGTTTACAAGGACATTTCATCAAGAAACATAATTCAAAATGGTCACTTTTGTTTATGCTTTATAACTATTCTATGTTTAGAAACAAAAAGGAAATTGTTTATACCTTTACATTTCTATTTTGCATTCACTAATCAGCATGGAAAGTTTTATTATCAGCTTCTCCACTGAAAAAGAGGAACTCATTTGATCAAGAGCTTATTCAGATCTCTCTCTCTCTCTCTCTCTCTCTCTCTCTCTCTCTGTTTCATTTCTCAGCTTTTAGAATTAGTTTGTCTATAGTCCATATTTGTAACTTCTGTATGATTTGAAACATATTCATTAAACTGTACTTAACGAAGCATCTTCATTAAGTAACACATTTTCTGAAAACCTTGATCTACAATTTCCAAACAAAAATTTACACTACCTTTTGTTGTCTTCTGCTATTCTTCATACATTACCAAGAACTGAAAAAATAAATTTCAGCTCTATGAAAATCAATACAGAAGCATGCATTTTTATAAACATTAGGAAGCCAAAATTATCTAGCTTTATAGTGCGATGAATACCCAGAGTAGGTCAAACCAATTAACTAAGATAACATACCACCGAGAATAACATACAGTAAATCTCTCGTAACACAGTAATAACTAGTAGGATACTTAAATATTTAAACACAGTCCCAGGCCTATTCATATAGAACTTTTATCAAACGGATCTAGCAATTAAGATGTGCTACTTTTATCGATGTAGATATGTTTACCTAAACTGGGCTCTGTGTGCGTAATGGTTTTGCAAGAGAAAAGCAAATAACTTTTCATTTCTGCAGCACCACTAAACTGGCTGAACAAACCTAACAAGAATCTCTTTGCCTTTCAGTTTTAAAGGCCGCATTTTTTTTAAAACCTAACATTTCCGGATTGAACAAGGTCTCTTCTTCCCTAAACACGGAGAGACGGGACTAATGGGTAAGCCGTTCCAGGCAAGGAAAGTTTCCTGGATTCTGCTTACCTAGCTAACTATGCTCGGCTCTCCCAGCACTAAAAGGCAAGGAGCGGTCCGGGGTCGCCCAGGAGCGCGGCCCTTTTGGATCACCCCCCCTCTTAACAGTGAAGCCGGAACTGAGCACCACCTCGCAGTTCCACGGTGAGGCTTAGAAGGTGGATTAGAAGCCCCAGTTGTGTGAAACGACGAGAACGAGAAACCTGCTTCTCTTCTCTCCACCCAACGAAGTTCAAGCTGTGCCAGGCCGTCCGCAGAGCACCCCCCCCCCGCCGTCCAAGACACGCTTCCCTCGCCCACTCCACGACCAGGCGGCTCGGAAGGCAGAGCCCTTGCCCCGCCCGGCCAGGCCTCGAAAAGCAAAAGGAGCGAAGGGTGCTCCCTAAGATGCCTCCTCCCCAGGCTCCGCTCCGCACTGGGCTTGGTCAGCTGCGGCCCGCAAGGCCCGAGCAGACCCAGCGCAACCTACCTTCTTCCTCTGGCGAAGAGGCGTCGGGCGGCCTCGGCCTGCTGTCGTTGGAGGGTCGGCTCGCTTTCAGACGAGGCCCCAGCCGACTAGTTGTCGGCCTCGCTGGCCCCTCCCTCGCCCCGCGGTCCTGGCTGTGCAGCGACCCGACCCCCTCTCCGCTCTTCTTTTCCCTTCTCTTCCCTTACCAGCCCGGCGGCGGATACTAACGATTGACGAGCAGTGGCGGGAAGGGAAAGGAAGCTCGAGCCCTGGTTGGAACGCGAGCTCGCTGCTTCCCTCTGCGGCGCGGAGGGATCAGAGCTGCTAGTGCCGCCCAGGCGCTCTTCACCGCCCGCCGGCATTCTGCAGAATTCAATGGCAAGCCGGTAGGGAATGCCGCTGGACCTGGGCAAAGTCCGCGGTGGCCTTTCTTCGGTATCGCCAGTCACAGTCTGACCTGTTATTAAAGTGTTTTTCAATATTATCGAGATATTTAGCAACTGTGCACTATTTAACCCTGCTTCGTTTTCTGGATGTGCACAACATCCTGCACCATAAATTATTGTATAGTCCGAGCTTTTACAGCAAGCTAGGTTAAAATAGGATGGGCTAGTTTGTTCGTTGGTATGTCAGGCGAACATAACCATAACACACCAAGATTGCAGAAAGAAGAAATGTAAGCTTTCTCCCATCTCACATATAATTAGGTTGTGACCATGGCCAAGCTTAATTTAACTGTGGTTTACAGAATTAATGCAATCGTATGCGTTTATACAATAGTAATAGTAATAGTAATAGTAGTAAAGTTGGAAGGGACCTTGGAGGTCATCTAGTCCAACCCCCTGCTCGGGCAGGAAACCCTACGCTATTTCGGACTAATGGCTGTCCAGTCTCTTCTTAAAAACTTCCAGTGTTGGAGCATTTACTGCTTCTGGAGGCAAGCTGTTCCACTGATTAATTGTTCTCACTGTCAGGAAGTTTCTCCTTAGTTCTAGGTTGCTTCTCTCCTTGATTAGTTTCCACCCGTTGCTTCTTGTCCTGCCTTCAGGTGCTTTGGAAAATAGCTTAATTCCCTCTTCTTTATGGCAGCCCCTGAGATATTGGAATACTGCTATCATGTCCCCCCTTGTCCTTCTCTTCGTTAAACTAGACATACCCAATTCTCGCAACCGTTCCTTATATGTTTTAGCCTCCAGTCCCCTAATCATCTTTGTTGCTCTTCTCTGTACTCTTTCTAGAGTCTCAACATCTTTTTTACATCGTGGTGACCAAAACTGGATGCAGTATTCCAAGTGTGGCCTTACCAAGGCATTGAAGAGTGGTATTAATACTTCACGTGATCTTGATTCTATCCCTCTGTTAATGCAGCCTAGCACTGTGTTGGCCTTTTTGGCAGCTGCAGCACACTGCTGGCTCATATTTAGTGATTGTCTACTAGGACTCCGAGGTCCCTCTCACAGTTACTACTATTGAGCATGGTGCCACCTATGCTGTACTTGTGCATTTGGTTTTTCTTGCCTAAATGTAGAACCTTGCTTTTTTCACCATTGAATTTCATTTTGTTAGTTAGTGCCCAGTGTTCAAGTCTGTCCAGATCCTTCTGTATCTGAAGCCTGTCTTCTGGAGTGTTGGCTATTCCTGCCAGCTTGGTGTCATCTGCAAATTTGATGAGTTCCCCATCTATCCCTTCATCCAAATCGTTGATGAAGATGTTGAAGAGTACTGGGCCCAGAACAGAGCCCTGGGGCACCCCACTACACACTTCCCTCCATATAGATGCAGTTCCATTGAGGACCACTCGCTGAGTACGGCCGGTCAGCCAGCTACGGATCCATCTGGTGGTGGTTCTGTCTACCCCACATTTTTCTATCTTGTCAAGTAGTAGGTTGTGATCTACTTTATCAAATGCCTTACTGAAGTCCAAGTAAATTATGTCCACAGCATTCCTCTGATCCACTAATTTTGTCACTTGGTCAAAGAATGCAATAAGATTTGTCTGGCATGATCTATTTTTGACAAACCCATGTTGGCTTTTAGTAATGACTTTGTTTGCCTCTAGGTGTTCGTTGATTCGTTGTTTGATTATCTTTTCCAGGATCTTCCCAGGTATTGAGGTCAGGCTGATAGGTCTGTAATTTCCTGGATCCATTTTTTTTCCTTTTTGAGGATGGGAACTACATCAGCTCTTTTCCAGTCCTCTGGTAGTTCCCCTGTGTTCCAGGATCTTTGAAAAATATAGTTCAGTGGCTCCGATATCACATCTGCCAGTTCCTTGAGAACTCTGGGGTGTAATCCGTCTGGTCCTGGCGATTTGAACTCATCTAGGCTGGACAGGTGCTCACTAACGATTTTCTTGCCTATCTTAACTTGTGTTTCTGTTTTGTTTTTTGTGGCACTATTTTTGATAGGTTGGTCTGTTTTTTCCCTTTGTGTAAAGACAGATGCAAAAAATGAGTTAAATAGTTCTGCTTTCTCCCTGTTGCTTGTCACCTTCTTGCCACTTCCACCCACTAATGGACCAATCATTTCCTTCACTTTTTTCTTGTTTTTTACATGTTGAAAGAAGCTTTTTTTGTTATTTTTGACTTTGGTCGCAAGCCTTAGTTCATTTTGAGCCTTGGCTTTCTTCACTTCATCTTTGCAGGCTCGGGCTATTTGCTGATATTCTGACTTAGTTATGTTCCCCTCTTTCCACTTTCTATACTTGTCCTTTTTATCTTTCAATTTGTCAGAGAGTTCTTTATGCAGCCATGCTGGTTTCTTTTGAGAGCTGTTATTTTTCCTCTTTGTTGGTATTGTGCTAGACTGTGCTTTTATTATCTCATTTTCAAAATTTCCCAAGCTTCTTGAGTTGTTTTCCCCTTGAGGATTCTCATCCATGGAATCCTTCCCAAGCCCTTCTCCTAAGTTTATTGAAATTAGCTCTCTTGAAGTCCAAGACTCTAGTTTGACTGTGTTCTATTGGTTGTGCTTCTATAATTAAATTCTAATTTGCTTGATCACTTCCTCCCAGGGTTCCTATGGCTCCAACACCGTCTATAATTTCATCTCTGTTAGTGAGAATTAGATCCAAAATGGCTAATCCCCTAGTTCCATTCTCTACTTTTTGGGAGACAAAGTTGTCTGCTAGGTTTGCCAGGAACCTGTTTGATCTTCCACTTGGTGCGGAGTTTGTCTCCCAGTTGATGTCAGGGTAGTTAAAGTCCCCCATTACTATTGTGCTGTGCTTCCTACTACCTTAGTTAGCTGACTAGCAAAAGTTCATCTATTTCCTCTGTTTGGTTGGGTGGTCTGTAGTATACACCTATGGCAATGTCATTTCCCCCCCCTTTTATATTGACCAAATTGCATTCAAGACAGTTTTTAGCATTGTTGTACTCTATTTCTGTGAAGATGTAGTTATTTCTTATATAGAGAGCAACTCCACCTCCTCTTTTATTTGGTCTGTTTCTTTTAAATAATTTAAATCCCTCTAGCTGTGGGTTCCATGTGTGAGTTTCATCCCACCATGTTTCCGTAATGGCAACAATATCGTATCTGCCCTCATTAACCTGAATTTCTAGTTCACCCTGTTTGCTGTTCATACTTTGTGCATTGGTGTATAAACAGTTGAGTCCTTTGTGGGTGGCCCTGTGTTTCCTTTCTACATAACCTGTGTGGTGCCTGAGTTCCCCTATTGTCTTACCACCTATTTGGTTAGTGCACTTTATGTGGCACTCGCTATTAAAGGCTTCATTTTGATTGGTAGCAAGGTTGGTATTCTTGTCCACACACACATCTGTGCTACATGGACTGATAGCCCTATAGTTTTTAAATTGCCGGGGACAGGGTTGTTCCGTATCAATTAACTCCCTGTCCCCGCTGTTTAGTTTAAATTTCCCTCCAGAAAATCTGTGAATTTATAGCCGAGTAACTCAGTCCCTTTTTTTGATGGATGCAAACCATCTCTTTTGTACATCTTTTGATTGGACCAGCTACTGACATCGTGACTAATATATCCAAAGCCTTCCCCTTTACACCATGTACACCAGTACACAATACTGAGCCATAGACTCAGCAATCACATAACGTGCTCAGAAAACTGTATTTGACTAGTTTACAATTTAGTATGGTGCAAGTCAATATTTAATAAATATTTGTGGAAGTGGGTCACTGGGACTTCAGGAGGAAAAAAGTTAAACTTTAATTGCATCCCTTTTGTATGATTGCTGTTTTTTGCTGATTGACTCAGGCAGTACAAGGTGGGGTTTCAAAGGTGCACTTTTGAAGTTTTCTTTGCTTCTGAAGGTGAGGTTTTTTCCTTTTCACCTGGGTGGCAAGCTTGCAAAAAGCACCTTGAGGTACATGTAGCTTACAAACTCAACAGAAAGATATAAGGCTACTGAGCATATTTAACTAAAGACCAAGTGCCAGTGACCTCAAGTGCCAGTGACCTCAAGTATAGGATTGCACTGCTTCCTTTGTCTCAGTCTCATAGCTATAGTTTTTATGGATACCTTTGCTAGAAAAAAGACAACTGGAGCATTCATTCTGTGGCTTCAAAATACAGTGAAACTTGTGGTTTTGTCTAAGGAAGGCTTTTCTAAGCAGGCTTATTTTAGCCTCTTGGGACCAAGGCTGTGTTTTCTAATCTAATATTTTCTTCATTGTATTTGTGAGAGACTAGCAAATTTTCAAAGCCAATATGTTAAGTCTGTGTATGCCTCATTTAAAATAATAGTAGGTTGTAATTATGTTAAAGCTTTCAAGTTTCAACAAATGGTTGTACCTGAAACTGAATGGAAAAAGGAATGTACTGTGCTTTCTTTGCCAACTTCATACTCTCTAGATATCATTGGATTTTAAGATAGAGATACTGGGAATTGTAATACTAGCCTATCTGGAAAACATTAAGTTGAAGAAGGGCATACTAGATTCAGAAAGAATTTGTAGGTATAATATGAATATTCAATCATAATGTTCAAATATAATCTCTAGATGTGTACTAGGTTTTTTTAAAGTTCAGACTATTGATCCTATACTGATTTTGAAATTATAAGATCAAAAAATTCACTCAGACAGAAATATACTATATTTTATTTCTTCCATGATTTAGTTATGGTCCAGCATTTAGATTTTCTGCAGAAATTTGGAAACTTTCTTGATATATTTCTTGTAATAAACCACTAATGCTTTGCTCTGGAAGATAAACCATTAGAACAGTTGTACTGAATCAATCTAAAGTTATGTATAGTCCAATATTCTGCTCCCAAGTGGCCAAT